TGTGTAGCATAATGACGTGAGCACCCACCTGGTGCGCGAGCATGTACTCGCGCAGCGCGTCGCGCGGCAGGCGCAGCGCGGCCGCCAGGCGGCCCAGCGCGAACTGCACGTGGTCCGTCGCCAGCCGCCAGCCGCTGCACTCGTACACCTGACGGAACACGACACGTTCACGGACCGCACTCGTCATAATTCGATTTACTTATCGTTCACAATAATCGCACCTGGTAAGCTTGTTTGTAACATCGGTATGCATGCTTCTTTTGTCCAGCTTTCGAAAATCTGTGGCCTGCCAACACCATATGGAAAGCGTACTTTCTACACATGCCTTTAGAAGCTGGGCCGGATAAGAAACACAGTGCTGCTTGTTCAAGAAGCATGGCACTGCGCAAATCGCTGTCCTCTGACGTCATACGTATCAATTGTTTGGCAGCCTCTCCGTGTAATCCTGATCCACTTAGGCATAGCACGGATAACAAGGTCGCCCTTACTGCATACTGGACCATCCTATAATGTAATAACTTAATAAAATAATTTGAATTTATTCATACAATGTATGAAGTGCAGAATTTTATAGTCAATATTTAAATTATAAATTAAGTCCTGAAATAAGAAGAATAATGTATATACTCACCTACAGGTGTTAAGATAAGTAACTATACTCTCTTCCATATAGCCATGTGTTTTGCGGTTTGAATCTCCAGCCATGAACGCGCTGATGGCCGCCATCTCGAGGGCGCCGGCGTAACAAAGCCACGCACTGTCCGCATAGAACTCCCTTTTTGCCGTGTGATAGGCGTCAAAAGCTCGTTGCCATTGCCGACATAAGAACCACAGGTCGCCCAATCGCCGTAGTTGTAATTCTGGGCAGTCACTTGTATATCTACAAGTATTTCAACATTATAACTTTATTGTTATCAGTATATAATGTCTAATCTTACAGTAACTTACATGACAGCACTGTTGCCTGTAGTACTTCCTGCCTTTCCAGTGCCAAACCACCGCTTTGTGGCTGATAGCAATGATCTACTCACACCTTTCCTGTTTGCAACCTATAAGTTTGCAACATGATGCTTATTGACTAGTTGTTAAATTATTATTTAATACTTAAATAAATATAAATTAGAAGAGTTGTGTTATACCAATAACACTGGATTTCTGATAGGCTGATTAAACCTAAATTCAGATGGCAACAAACATACACTTTATTTAAGCTGTATGTGTGTGTATAATGTATATTCAAGCGTGCTTACCTAGTTAACAGTTAAATGCCTTGGCAGGTGACAGTTAAGTTGCTAGGGGCGTGAATATACTTCGTTTCATTTGTTGATTGAGAGTGGCAATTTCTCGATTCCATGCCATGCCAAGGATAGGCAAATAGTATAAGTTGTTTGATTTGATAACCATGGCGTCTGGCATGTGTTAGTTTTAATAAATTCAACAAGCTTTTGAGAAAATGGGAGTAAAAAACTAAAACAAAATATAACTTACAACTTCAGATAGCTGCGATATTTGCTTTTCCATATAAGGCAACAATGCCTTTGAAGCATATTCTTGCAGAAATTTTTTGATACCTTCAATATCATTTGAATTCAAAGCTGTACCATGAACTTCTGTTGAGTAATCCAGACCTTTGCCAGCCACATTCATACTTTCTGAACTACCAGAGAAGGAATGAGTCTGAAACATAAATAAAAAGTTTTGTATTAAAAAAAAATATCTAGACAAGTATCTAGCTATTTATTTATACTCTACTCTGTAGAAAAACACTGTGATACAAACTCAGAGATCACAGTCTCTTTAAAAGTAATAAATAATTTATTTGACTTATCAAATATTATAATTCACGATAAGCAGTGTCTCACAACCTGCAGGCTATTTGCATTATCATAAACATCAGTTTCTGAAGTTGTTAGAGGATGAGAAGTGTCTGCATTCATTGCTGACATTGCTGCACTATTCTCATCTGGAAAACAGGTAAGAGTGATTTAAAAACAATAGAAACACACCCTTTATAAACTAATGGCACAATTGTGCATGAATAATAAAACAAATTGATATAAACCTTGAATGTTTGTTACAGTTATGGGGAATGACGGTTGAGGTTCAGCCGGTGTAGTGGGTAGGTTTGTTAGTGATGTTGACATCTCATTCTGGAAATTAAGTACATTAACATTTCAGTAAATTTATGGTTAAGCAAGCATAGTAATAAAAAAGAGAAGTGAATGGTAACTCCTTACATTTCCTTGAGAAGACCTTTTTACAAATTGAGCCCACAAATCAGTTGGCACATTCTGATCTAATGTACTTTTAGAATTAATTGGTAACATAAAGCAGTTAGTTGCTCCAAATGTTTGCTTCAGAGTTTCAAATGCAGCATCTCCTCTGTAACAAATATAAATCAATTGTATTGCAAAAGTATACACAAAACAATGTTACATTTTATTGAAAATAAGACGTACTTTTCTTTAGGTACTGCAGATACATCATGAAGAAGAAGATAAGACTTTAACACACTATTGTTGAACCACTTCGGTAATTTTGGAGGAGCCACATTTTGTAACATAGCATATTGCTGGTTTAAGCTATTAAAAGTATCTATTATATTATCATCTAATGTTGTACCAACTATAATACAAGATATGAAGTGTTTGGTGAATTCATGGTCTGAAGGAAATTGTACTTCCAAATATGTTTCTCTCCAGGCATCAAACCAGTGTGTTGATTGGGGAATATCAAATTTTCGCCCATCTGCAATTATATGTTACCATTATTAAAACACATTACTTATATACATAAGCAATAAATTAATTTTTTTATCATTGTATTTAAAGTAAGCCAGAATAATTAATACACAGGTCAAAGATAAAACAAAGTAAAGGAATGTCCTTTGGGCAGTTGCATTAGGTACTTGTATTACTTCTCTACACTTTGTTTCAATATTTAAAAAATAATCATTACAGATAACAGACAATAGAACACTACAATACCTACCTATTTCAAGGGATACAATTTTGTCATGATAGTTATGTAGCACGGCATTATTTAACTGTCTTCTTGCCTCTGTAGGCTGTAGTGGCTTCCAGTTCACATCTCTTATAATTAATTTCCAATTCTTTATAGAACATGTATTACCACTTGCATCTTTGAATTGCCCTGAAACATTATAATACTTTAAATTGCCATTTAATGTTTACATTCATTTATTTTTCATTTTCATTTCTACAAAAATGTATCCTCAATCACTCATTCCTTGAAATTTATTATGTAGGTATTTTCTTTAACTATTTTGTATTTCATAATTGTTTAGAGGATATTATGGTTGTTTGTTTGATATTTATATAAAGTGGTCATAGACTGATTGATTTGACTGGATATGGTCATCATTTTGTATTTATCTGTGTCTGCAGTACAGGCGTTTGTTTTTGTAACCAAATATGGGTATGATAATGATAGATAGAACTTTATACATATAGATTTTTGTGGAAGAGGACAGTTTAATGTTTGTTAGATTTTTATATTGTCTAAAAACACTGAAAATAGTTCAATTAAGAAAAATTCATCATAAGCAAAACACCATTCTATGCATAGCTTTAGTAACACAAGAATTTAGTTATACCTTCCCAATCCATAGTAGCGAACGGTTGCAACATCTCAGTAAAAGACAAATTATTCTTAGATACGACATTTTCAACTTTTGGGCTACACAGAACAGCGATGATAGGTGAAAACGAATCTTGAATGAACTCTTGTGCAGTTTTTCCCAGTCTAGCCATGTTTCTTATGACTGTTTCACAATTCTAATCCTTTGAATAGATCATACGAACACCTAAAATTAAATCGAAAAGCTTCATACGATTAATTAGTTTAATATTATTATTATATAGTAGATAAAGATTGTCGCTGGCTTCAGTTGGGCTTCAGTATTTTACATCTAATAATTAGTAAAATTGTATTACTGACACATTTGACATTGACACAAAGCAGCTTCTGACAGCTTCTTCTTAACTACCGTAGACAGTAGTTGTGACACTGACAACTGTCACCTTTCTGACATTTCCGTATACTTTTTTGTTGTCTGGGAACAAAATAGTTTAATATTCATATAAAAACTTAAATAAAATTAAAACTAACTATTACTAAATTAAATATATACAACTTAGGATTAAAATTATTTAAAAGAAAAACAAAATCAACTATTTACAGGATCGAAAAATTCGTCCGCATCGACGTCAGTGGGGAAAGTACCCAGAAGGCTGGCAGCATTGCCACGTTGTATGGCAATGCTTAACCTCTGACCGAGAAAAAGACCAGCCCTCTGGTCACGAGATGTGTCAACCAGGCGTTTTGAAATGTTTTTGAATAATTTAAGCGCACTCGGACCCCACGGACCTAGCGTCTCAACCCCAAACGGCTCAAAGATATACTACTACCAGCAAGGTTGTTATACTTGCGCCGCTTGAGGTTTTCTGCAGAGGCAGCAGCCGAACCAGCACAACCCGCCGTTACTGGAAGATTAGAAGGTGCAAGGGTGTCGACGCAGGTTGCGTCCCACACCAAAGACCTTCCCAGCTTCCAGGGCATAATGTTCATACCGTCGGGTCTCTTACCATCGTCGCGTGCCAAACCCTTTGGTTCCAGAACAGCTGGCATACCGGCGATGATAAGAGCTCGATGGATAATGTCGTTAATGCTGGCGTGTCGAGATATCCGGCCCGCGCTTCTGCTACACGATAGTCCGTGGTTGCCGAGGTGGTCGACCATCTCACCGCATTGACAGCGATGCGGAGTAACACAGGGTGCAGCTACACGCAAGCAAGCAGCAAGCCGAAAAGTTGAGTCATTCAACATCGTTCCAATATTGAGTGACGGAAGTGCCTAAAGCCAGAGGCCTGATTCCCACTCACCCACAGCCAATAGGCGAGCTAACTCCGCAAGATTGGTGCTCGTATTAATTAGATTATTATGCACCAACCTGCAAAGCGGCTCGTCCCATTGTCTCTGGGAGGAAGGGTTGACAGAGGCTGTATTAGGACATGTTTCTGTCCCGTTCTGTCCAGACGTTCATCGCCAAAGAGAGATAAGTATAGTCAAAGATCCCCTATACTTATTATACTCTTTGGTCAAAGAGTATAATACTAAGTATAGGGGATAATATAGTTCAACGCGTCGGTCAGACAACCCCTATACTTATTATACTCTTTGGGTCAGACACGGCACGTCGGGTTCAGCATTAACACCAGCTAAAATGTTTTTTGTTAAAGTTCTTGTGCTGTGGACAGAAGAGGTGAACGAGGTAAACCTACACTGGAAATTTTGTGGACGCCTAGACCACCAAAACGAATTGGTAGGGTGGCTTGAAGCCAAACACGATCGTCCATAGATGCATTCAAAAGTGAAGTTAAAGTGTCACGGATAATTTGATCAATTTGGTCCAGAATATGCGGATGCTTCCACAGAGGGGAAGCACGCAGAAAATAGATAAATTTTGGGCCGAAACAACAATAACGAATTAAAGTAAAAGCACAGTGTAGATTAATTTTGGAAAGTCTATCGGAAATGTCACAGAAATTTTTAATTTTCTCGTTTATGAAATCAGAGAAACTGTTTTCGAAAATTGAGGAACCCAGGAGAAGAAGAGAGTTTTTATTAACAATTTTTAAATTCGGTGCTATGGTAGTTTAAAATTCCTTGTCTATCAATAATTTTATTCGGAAGGTAAATTTCGCATTTAGAAATATTTAATTCTAATCCGATGGAATTAAATTCAGAAATCAAAAGCTCTAAATCATGGAAAACAGTATCTGCGTCACCTCCTAGGGTTCCATCATTCAAATACCAAACATTGAATTTAGATTTAAGTTGCCGAATAATAGGGTGAGTGGCTAGACTGAAAATGACTGGACCAAGAGGATTACCTTGTTGGCAGCCTACCGCAGAATCGAAAACTTTGTCTTTATATAATAATTTTGAAGGTTGTCTATAGCACTGCCAAATAAAACTGTAAATTTCAGGTAATTCTTTTTTACTTCAGCCAAAAAAGTGTCCCTGTTGATGGAGTTGGATGCATTTTTTACATCAACCTTAAGGATGACCTCACTTTCGTTGGCATTCAAGAAAGATGATAGGGCATGTACGGCAGCCTCACAACCCCCTTTTGAGCCGAAGCCTAGTTGGAGGGGTTTAAAGTGCGACATGAGCGCATCTTTATGATAGCTGCAACACAACTTGGCTGCCATACGCCTGTAAGTACATCCTACGGCAATGGGACGTATGCCGCCATCTTTCTTGCGTAGGGCACATAGGTTGGCCCCGTACAAAATGTCGATAACGGCATCCGTCACATTACCGGAGAACATTAAATTAATCAGAACCGTTAGCTCCTTCAGAAGAGACTCAACGGCTTCCCCGACGTCTGGCCCCGTCAAATCCTTAAGATGTTGAGGAGTCAGACCATCAAGTCCACCAGCAGAGCCACTGCGGAAGGAGCCAACGGCTGCAGCTACTTGCTGGACAGTTGCGGTGAAAGTATGAATTGGTTCAGGAGGATCGGGAAAAGTGAGGTCAGCCCTAGCAGGCGGGTGTTTACTCTTCAGAGCTTCAAAAGTTTCTGAAGAGTAGGGAGCAACCACGTCACTACTGAATAAAAGCCTGGCGGCTCCACTTATATCACCTTCCCCTAATTTGGATTCTACGTAGTCAAAACGAGTTTTTTTTATATTATTAAAGGAGTTAGGAAATTTTGGATCTAAAATGGAGTTCAAAATACTGTGAGGTTGAGTTTTTTTTACAGCCAAATTTTTTTTCACGTGTAGAATCCTGTATGGGAAGGTGAGTAACTGCTCCCAAGCCGAGAAAGACTTTTCCCCAGTTGCAAGACGAATGCAATTTCCTAAATTAAGAGCCACGGACCGTCTTGCACCACGAGGAACTCTTTTTAAAACGGGTGTTGAATTTTTGAATTTGAATAGGATTTGAATAGGATAAGGATACACTATGAGATTTGTGGATTTTTCCATAACGTATTCTTAACCCACGTTCTCTTTTAAAACATCGAGGCTGAGAGCATAAAGAACATCTCTTACCAGGCTATCTAGAGGTTGATGAGCACATTGAGGAGCACTTCCAGACTCTACGGCTGCATCACATGGATGCATGTAGGTCAAAAGCCCTGAAAAATGTATCAAAAATTCTAAAATTAAACTAACTAATTAAACAATAATGATTAATTAAACTTATAGGGCGCCGGACCGCCGCGCTGTCGCGGTGTTCTGCGCCTCCATGCCGCCCATATCATAAGAAAGACTGTTCGCCCAAGCGGCGATGTTGGAAGAAATGCTCAGAGACGGTTAGATTAGTTTTTTGTCAATGAGTCAAATTTGTCAGCACATCGAAGCAGATAAATGTCAACGCATAGAAAGAATTAAAGTGTGCAGCAGACAGTGATTTTTAATAATCACAATCACGTCTCGATGTAAATAATACACTTTCGAGTACAAGTTTAACGATAATTCACTTTTTTTTTTAAATTTGCTGTGCTGATACAAGTTTATGACATAAAAAAAAATGTCTGTCTGGGTATTTTTTTAAGGGGGGAAAATCATCGAATAACTGCTCTCGCCTGGGTGAGGCGGGAGGGAGTGTCAGACTATTACTGACTAAAAACCACCCCGTTCCTTCTCCTGCACGTCGAGCCGGAGCCCCGGTAACCCGGTAGGTTCTCCGCGACTTTAGTCTGGGTATGGGGTTATGATATATCTGTTTGAGGGCGAAATATCATCCAATGATCTTCTTCCACGTTTGGTGAGGCGGGAGGGAGTGTCGGACTCTTACTAACTAAAAACCACCCCGTCCCTACTCCTGCTTCGAACCGGAGCCCCGGTAAGTCATCAAACTGTCCGATGCTCCGATTTACGACTCGTTATACTATTCACCTTCCAACATACACATCTTTGAAACTTGTTGCCGCTTAGATACATACATCATTTCACAATACCTATTTTATTAAAGGCAGATTAACACAGTGTCAGTAAAGCTGACTTCGAAACAATGCAAGTCAACGCTAACTCCAAAACACCAATGTAAATTGATTTGAAGTCAGTACAGCGAAATGAAATCAGTGCTGACTTGAGACTTTCCACACGAATATTTTGGGTAGGTACTTCAACTACACACTACACTGTTAGAGAGTATTTTTATTAGAGTATTTATCCAAAAATATGGATAAATAGTGGTTGTCCATTTTGAGTTTCCGGAAAATCAGGGATTTCAGGGATTTAGGTGGTCATTGCTGCCATTCCGTTCCCTGGAAAGTTTTCCGGTTTTGACAAAAGTTATTAGTAGTTTTTGTAAAAAAAACAAACCAATTTTTAACGGGAAAAGCGTTGTCGAGTTTTACACTCAGATGTACAAAGGAAAATAAAGGTTGTACAAGAAATAAAAGGTATATAAAAACAACAAAATTAATGTTCATATCGTTAATATTTAATGAAAAATTCATTTTAAAAAATTCAAGTATACCTATTCAACCAATTTAAAGTAATAAAAATTTATTTACGACGAAAATACGACCGTAAATGCATATTACTTACATAAAAATATAATCCATTATTATCTTAAATTAGGTAAAAAAATTATTTAAAGAAATTTATTAATGGAAATCGTAATTCTGCATTAATGTATTCTACTTATTATCTTTAAGAAATGAATTATGAAGCAATAATTGTAAAGAATTTTAATCATGTTGTTTTAAATATAAAACAATTAAGTTCAAAGTAGTGTCCTCTCACTTTCCAAACAAATTAAAACAAAGGATCCAAGGTATGCAGTACACACAATGTATAATTTTTATGTTGAACCTAAGGGGTAATGTTGAAAAGTTTGAATTGAGAGTAATCGATTAAAATATATCACAATGATGGCTCCATAACTCTCATTTAATGTTTCCCAGGTAGTATACAGTATGTATAGTAAACAGAACCAGACTTAAACATGCTGTCAATCAAGGGTGTGGTTACAAATAAAATGAAGCTACCACCTAATAATAAAACTAGCAAAACCATTCGACGTAAGGCTTCACGGCGCACGCATGTCTTTGGTTTCGTAGCAGAAACAAAATAATGGTTGGCAAACATAAGATGTAAGTTGAGTATTAATTACGTTACGATTTCTAATTCATTTATTTCGCTCCTCTTCGCTTGCCTTCAAATTAGTTGCGCATCGTCTGTCGCGCGATCGCCGCGCTACAACCATGCGTCATTTATTTGTATGAAAAACTAAGGCTGATTTTAGTCTCACGCTGACCGTCAGCGCTCATAGTTAGGCGCGTAGTCAGACGACGACCAAACCGTAGCTTTATCCGTTGACCGACCGACGATTCTAAAGCGCTTTATACAAGTTTCGACTGTCAGCGTGCCTCTAAAACCAGCCTAAGCTGCGTGGCCGTCGCGCTGTCACGCGGCTGTTTACGGATAATTTAAAGGCGCCGTTAGAGTTCCACAACTAGAATGTAGTTGAGTTTTACGTAAGTAGTGTAGTGGAATGGTGATTAAAGTTACTACAACCGAAAGATTTTTATAACTATAAAGTAATACTTATACGTATTCCTATTTTCTAAATGAGTCTTAATTATAACTTAAAACCAACATAATTATTATGTATAAAATTAATACAAAACAACTACTTTAATTAAGCTTATTCTTGATAGTTGCACCATTCGAACGAAAATCATGTGTGTACATTTCAATATATGGTAAAAACACATGATTTCATGAAAATCGTAAGAAAAAGATATGTTGAGTTAATTCTGTATAGTCGATTAAGTATTCTACATTATGTTCAAGTAACTTTGGTAGCTGCCAGATAATACTATTTACAAAAAAATCACTTAAATGTTTTCTTGCTAACGTAATATTCAATCCAACGACTATGCAGAATCATCATCACACAAAATTTAATATTTCGATAAATAGTACTAAAATTCAGTTCAAGAAATACCTTCTTAACCGTGTCGTTTGTGTTCTATTTTATTGTTGTGAGGTTATCTATAATCAGTTGTTTAGAAAATTGACCTGAATCTATAACTGTGAAATCGAAATATTAACCATGACCAATAATTAAACCAATTTTTCATGATATAAATGAGAAACATGTACCTAACGTACAACGTCATTTCTCTTTATAAACATCATTGCTGGAAGCGAAAATATTCTCAGTTCTTAAATTCACAAGTTAAATTAGGTACACATTTTTACAACTAACATTACTCAAAGTTCGAATTGAACATATTTATGTTTAGATCTTCAAAGGTAGCAGTCCCGCTCTGGTCCAATATCTGCAGCATGTCGGTGAGCTCGTGCGGCGCATGCGCGCCCTCGGCCGCGCCCGTCCCCGCCGGCCCGGCCGCGCCGCCCTGCCACGACCACATGCCTGCAACAGACCATACTTACTTCGACCTAGACCAATATACACAACCTATGACTTTCAGAAAATTTTGACATTCAGAACATTTTGATAATTTCTCTAAAACAATCAATTCGAACCAGTAGTTTGATTGTTCAAATGCGCTAATGTCCGGACATTAGCGCATTTGAACAATCAAACTCTTCAGCTTTCTATTCTAATATTAAAATAAGTATAATTTGCTGAAATAAAAAGTAATAGGAAGAATGAAGTTGTAACTGACCGTGCGAGGGGTGTGGGTGGTGGTTGTGGTGGTAGTGCGCGGCGGGCGGCAGGTAGGCGGGCGCGGGCGGCGAGCGCGCCGGCGACGCGTCCGCCGCGCCCGCGCCGCCGCCGGCCTCGCTGCTGTACGCGTAGCTTTCGCCGCCAGCGCCACCGCTCTGTATGTATTCATTTATTGTAAAATATGCATCGAATATAACTATATTTATTTTTTCGCAACACTTATGAAAATTATTAATTGTTAAGGCAATTATTAGTATTTGGCTAATCGGATAAAATGCTAATGAATCAATTATCATCATAGGTAATGCATGTAGGGCCGGTACGTACGGTGCGCAGCGTGGTCCAGGTGGTGTGCGGCGGCGTGTTGGCGGGGCGGTGCGGCGAGTAGTCGGGCGTGTAGTGCGGCGCGTAGGGCGGCGCGGCCGGCGCGCCCGGCGCCACGCCCGCCTCGCCCGGCGACCGCGCCGTCACTCCGCCGCCTCCACTCACTTCACATTGCACACAAACACCACACATCATTAATAACACACATAGGATTAGGCAATGTCTAATTTCAGACTGAAAACACTTCCATGAGAAGAAATTGCAAAATTCTAAATTAATTAACACAATCAATAATTTTCATTAAAATACCTGGCGGTGGAGCGTGGTGTTGCTGATGGAGATTCGGAGCTTGAGCTTGGTACACGTCACGATGCCGTAAATGGTAGTCGTAGTTTTCTTCCGGAGCAGGTTCGCCAGTAGTACTACCTAATGACCGGCTAAAGAAAATAATTTATGTTGGTTAAAACATTTTTAGATACTATATGTTTTTAATTTTAAACTTTACGAAAAATGTTCCTACTTACTTAGCCAACATGTTTGTGCAAACAATGTACTCGACATCGTCATTATAAGGATTCAAAAAGGCGAAGGCAGAAGTTCTTAACCAAACCCATTCTCTGTTTTTCGTGCGAAACCGGTACATGAGCGATATAATTTGTCCTTTCAGTTTTAATACTGAGAAGAAAAAACACAATAGATTAGCTTACATTGTACAGATAGAAAATAAAGTGATATAGGTAGATAAAGTATATAAAGGTTACCTTGGTCAAAGTTATCTCTCATATGTTGTTGGTCCTCGGGATGATAGAATTCGTAGCAGAGTTTCCCCAGTAGATCGGCAGGCGCGTACCCAACCACCTGCGTTGCACGCTGGTCTGCGAACGTGAAGCGGCCGTCCACTGAATGCCGCGACACAAACTCTACCCCTCCACTACATAAACTGTTCTCTGAAGAATTTGGTGTAGATGTCACCTGCCGGAATAAAAAGTTGATTTAATTTTAACATTTAATATTCTACTCGTTTTCTATAAGAAGATTGAAAGACTCGTTACCTGCAGTCTTCCAATAGCAACTAAGCAACAATGAGACGTGTCAAGTTCTTCCTGAATAGGGCGATCCATCTGCATACCTGGAAACAGATCTGATGTCCCAACATACATAAAACTATGTTTCTTAATACTTCATTTAGTCAAAGAACTCATAGTAAATGTTTTAGGTACTTTAAATAACCTGACATTAAACTAGCAGTAGGTAATAATGCGTGTGTCTATGATCACAGTAATATTGACAGTTCATCATTATTTCACTTTGAACTACTACTTTTTTAACATTAACGATATTTGCAATGACTACTTATTATAATTTATGAATTACAGTTAATTAAAATACCTACATAGATATATTATAATAAAACTCTTTCACTGGTATACATGTTACCTGTAGGTGGCCAATTTTTTATATATCCAGTGCAATGGACAACGGCATAATTATGACCGTCATGCGAAGGACCTAACGAGTTGCGTGCACGCAGTCTTCCTAGGTGAGCGCCTTCCGCAGAACCACCGACACGCATACGACATATGAAACCTCGCCGGGAGCCCATCACTTGACGCATAGACGCTGCAATGATATTTATATACATAAAATACACGCGAATTATGTACTTTCTATGCAAATGTAAAGTTCACTTACATTGATGACCTTCTTTCTTCACTGTTCCCGTCTTGAGATCTAATATGCGACCTGTGTTCTGCGGTTCTTGAGTGCTTAACTGTTCTCTAACTTTTTCTACATCGTCAGGATGTACTTGATCATATAAACAAGAAGAATACCACTCACCCTAAAATAAAATGGGTTGTATTAGTACAATTTCATAAGAAAATTGAAGGACTTTGATAAAAAATGGGTTTTGCAGGTGTAAACGGAAAGTTCCCGAAGTGTTGACAAAACAAAATTGTTATTGAAATTTTAATCGTTATTGTTTTCGTGTATTATGCAATATCAGCTTTGTTGATTACAACTATTATTACATAAAAGAAACATTTAATTTCTTAATTTTACGGAAATACGCTATTATATATTATGTATGTATTCACTCCATTACATTGCTAATAGTTACCTGGGAGTAGTTCAATACTGGAGCTATACTATCACTGACGTAAATAATACGTCCGGTGTCGCAACTGACAACAAATAAAAATCCATCAGCTGCTTCTAGAATCAAGTGCTTCAGTTCTTGATCAGTTAAAAACGACGGTTTGTATGTACCATCTGTCGAAGTGTTGCCAGTGCCTGTAACATAAAAATTGGTTAAAAATCATCTGCCTTCTAATTGTTAAAAATTCATGTGTTTATGCAGTAGCCTACATTTTGTACTATCTGAATATACACATTTTATAAAATAATAATTTTCTAATGAATTTGTCTAAGAAATCGTGAAAGATTATCACCGTCGAGCTATAATATTCTTAATTAAGTACCTCTTAAGGCTTTCATATGGGCTACTGCCATACGCAGTATGGTAAGTTTGTCTGGCTTGCGCGCTAGGGCGGAGCATGTTGGAACCATATCCGATAGTTCCGTAATGTATGCCGTCATCTTGTTTCTTCGGCGACGTTCAATTTCACAATGGTTCTCGCGGCTGCAAATAAAATAGGTAATCGTTAGTGAATTACTAATACGTACCTACCTAAAAATAAGATACAGCTATGTATGTACGTAAAAGATAGATGTAAAAACTAGGAGATTCAACTCAATTGAATAATGACGGACTGTTTCAGTAATCAGTATTAGTTAATACAAAGGTTCTATGAGTGATAAAAAGGTGGCAAATAGAGTTTAAAAGAGCAAGGTACCTAATAAATTTGTACTTGGTTTGATATCTTGGGTAACAGTAATATTTGCAAGCAATCAAACAATTTTATTTTTTTAATGGGGAAAATCATCGAATGACTGCTCCCGCTTGGGTGAGGCGGGAGGTAGTGTCAGACTCTTACTGACTAAAAACCACCCCGTTCCTTCTCCTGCACGTCGAGCCGGAGCCCCGGTTACCCGTTAGGTTCTCCGTGACAAGCAATCAAACAATAGGCCAAGTTTCTCCACAGTAAATAACTATTAATTGCCAACTAATTGGTTCTTTATTTCAGTTTAATATGTGGATTCAACGGTAAGACCTACTCCACAATGATTGAATGTTGAACTTCTAGAAAGGTGCAAAGAGCAAACCGAGTTAGACTGCGCTTCCTTCGCCACCAAGAATATTACTTGTCGATTTTACATATTTTACGAACAATTATATCATGATGTATTTTTTTACATATTAATGAAATTTTAATTAAATCTTGAAATAAGACCCAGTTTACAAACTCATTCAATGTACGATACGTACATCTATCGCAAAGTTACAATATTGATTATTTATAATAATAAGTTCCAGAGAAAGAGCGCGCACTTGTCGCGTGATAAGACACGTTTTCAATCATCACATAGTAGCCTAGTAATGAGTTGTAGTTACGGGAAAATCATAACCTTGATGAAAAGATTTGTATTCAATTACTAACTATACACGCAAACTGTTTAGACAATCTATTAATTGTATTTAGTCGACGTAAAAAGCTTTAAAACACAATAGGTAGGAAGGTACGTAGTTTTGTAATGTGTAAATAACACTTTGAATTTGGTAATCCTACTTTAAAAGTCAAAAATAAAACCCAACCTGGGTTTTGTTTTTGATTTCTTATGTTTTACTGAAGTGAAATTATTTTTTTGATGAAATAACCAGTAAACGAACAGACGGATCACCTGATGGTCAGTAATCGGCGCTGCCCATTGACACCAGAAACACCAGAAGTGTTACACAAGTGCGTTACCAGCCTTTTGAGGATTAGGAATTTGAGGATTATTGGGGATTCGGGGATTGGGGTGATTGGGGAGGTAATTGGGACTCCGGTGACCTCACTCACACGACGAAATACAATGCAAGCATTGTTTCACGTCGGTTTTCTGTGAGGCCATGCTATCACTCCAGTCGAACCGGCCCATTCGTGCCGAAGCATTGCTTTCCCACACTTACTTATTTATTCATCTATTGGCTGTGATTACCAATATAAAACTGCCTCGTTGGCCAAGTGGTCGCAATTGCGACTGCCGGGCAAGGGGTCTCGGGTTCGATTCCCGGGTCGGGCAAAGTACTACTGGGCTTTTTCAAAAAATCTCAGTAGTAGCACATACTGGAATTGTGCCCGGTATATGACAATAGGCTCACCCCCTATTACATGGGACTCTTAACATAAATAGTGAAAACATTGGACAGTGGCATAATGTACACCTCTGCCTATCCCTTCGGGAATAAAAAGGCGTGTGATGCTATATACCAATATAAAACACAATTGAAAATACAAAGATCCATTGTTATTGTCATCTCAGTGACGAGACATCGACTGCTGAACATAAACATCACCTAGTGACTTTACAGTCATAATATTTTTTTGGAACACTAGAAAATAAAACATTACACAAATGGGCCACAAAATCAACAAGACAAACAAAGTAGATAATAAAACAAATTAACCTTGCGAATCTCTCCTTGTCCTGAATGTTGTCCTCCTCCATCCTTGTATATTTCCCACCACTTGCGTCGTCTTCATCTGACCTATAAACAAGATTTTTTAATATTATTGTGAATACTGTGCAAAATACAATGTTTTTTTAACATGTCATGTTAGTGTGACATAAAATATTTTGTTTGTAAGTGGACAAGGAAATCATATTTAAATTAACCTTATATAAAATTGTAAAATATAAGAACTGTAGTCCAATTATGAGGAAACAATACTAAGAAATAACATTCTGTACTATAATTAAATTCATTAAACATGATTCACAAAGCACTTTTGAACAAGTACAATAAATTAAAAACTATTTGTAAATGAGTTACTAATAACAAAATGATTTACCATTATGGCTAACTAAGATTATTGTAGTACAGCTGGGTACATGTTATTTAAATTGAATTATATAGTATAACAGCAAACATTTTTTATAAATAATAATGGGGATGACGACAGGGTATGAAAATTAAAAATATAATTAGTCTTTAAGTTAGGTAATTAAAAAATATTAGACACATATTTTTTTATTTTGTCGTATAATGAAACAATACTTAGATAAAACGAATCAAAGTTTAGTAGTGGGGGCTAAAACGTCATTTCTTAGTATAAAATGTACTGAGAAGTGACGTCACGCGACATTTCGAATCAAATGTCGTCGAAACTATTCGTTTCCGTAAGAAAATAAAATATACGTGTCTAATGTTTTTAAATAATCTACCAGACGGACATTAAAATAAAAATTAGTCGTCTACTATTATTGATTGTTAGGAATTAGATTGTTGTTTTAATATTTACTGCCATACTTGAGAAACCTTCCCTACGGATGGTTACGGAAACGTGTTTTTAAGTTCAATTTAAGGTTCTGGGTACAAAGCAGTACAAAATGTGGAAGAAATGCACAAAAAATGCAATATTATATGAAAAAAGTTAGTAAAATCTCACAAACTCATAGAATTGCCACAAACTGGCAATGATGATTTCTAAACAGAGTGTATAAGATATAAGCTTTGTCATTGCAGTTCAGTCAATGAATAATGTTTATGAATGTTTAGCTTTTTATTCTTGCATAACATCTAGAAACTCACCCAACACTGCCAGCACGGCGTTTTTGTAAATCCTTTGCTGGGTCAGCCCCTATAAAAATAGCAGTTGTTTAAGGTTTTGCTCAAAGACAACTATGAAATAATCTACATAGGATGTATTTTATTGAAATTAAATATTAAATTGAAATGTTAATAGATCATTTTTACATTTAATATTATACTTTAAAAAAATATATATCTAGTTATTTCAATAATCTAATTTTATTATTTTATTTTCCAATATGTAATTGAAATTGAGAAAACAAATTTTATTTTAATTATAAAGCTTTAAATTATACCAATGTTTTGGGAAACTTTCAAACAACTAAAATTAATACAACTTATGATAAATAGAACTGAAGGATAAAAAAGGATATATAAATATATGAATCAAGAAAAAAAAAGATATTGATTAGCAAATCAGAAAGAAGGACTGTTTAATCTGTTTAAATAAATAATAACAAACTCTTATCTATTAGGTAGTATTTCATTATCAGGTTTTATTATATTTTCCAAAACAAAATTATTGTGTAAATTAAGTGTATAAGTGCATCAAGTATCTTAAAGAATTAGTTTCAACTAAGTAGTGGTAGATTTCACTTTAAGGATAGAAAATAAATAGTTTAAAAGGTGAAACTATTATCATTGATAGTTTAGATCAAGGTCATAATATGAATTCTGAATGGTAAATACAATTTAACACAGTTGTGTATAAAAACAAAGAACAAATAAATAGAAAGCAATGTCTAGTCAACTAGTTTACATAATGAAACATCAGCTATTTCAGCGCAAAAATAAATATTCTAAAATTATTTATTGCTCAAAATTATATTTTATGGAAAAACATGATAAGATAGTCAGCAATGTTCTCAATACCTGTCTCAATAATGTACCTAATTAAAACTTTACTTACAATCAGTTATATTCAAAAGTGCTTTGTATGCAAATTATGAATTTATTGGAAATGCGTTGATCCTAAATTTCCATTTCTAACTTGAGTAGGTAACTAACAACGCGTCACGCGGTGCAATGTCAAATTGAAAATAGGTCGATAACTTTTGATGGATTACGTTTCTTCAAGAAAATATTAAATTGTTAAAAATAATCACAGTCCTTTATGTGTCATCCTTAATTAGTATTCTAATACAATTTAATACAGGTATGCCAGGATTTACTCGTGAAACAGTATCGAAATGATCACCAACCGGGGATAGTGGGAGCCACGGCAGACATCGGTCAGTAAACTCATTAGTCCACGTTATAATTATCACTACTTTAAAATCTAATGCTATTCAAACTCACAACGAAAACGTCAGTAAAAGAACAAAGTAATACGTATGTTTACAGCTCTTCAATACAACACAAACGCCATTTTCCAGTGCAGCAATCACCACATATAAAAACGTCACATGTAAATGTTGCCAATTAAATGATAGAAATATTTTACTTAGTCGATTTGTAAGAAATGTTATACTATTTCCATACCCTTCTTATTTATATTTAGCCAGAGCAACGAAATTATTACAAGTTAGAATGATATTATTGAGACTAATTGGGGTATACCAGAAATAGTATGTATAATTTTGCATGTCGAAAATAGCCGTCGGTGTACAGCTCGGCAAAAAAGAGTATGACGCGGTGACAGCTTGAAATATTGACATGCACCATAGATATATACTCTTATCATATCAGTGACATGAGTGACATGCACTGATTGAGGATTACTGTATTTTTACTCACCAGATGGCACCTCTCGTTCTTTGTCCAGTCATCCAAAATTAGTACTTCATAAGAAATTCTATAAAAATAACAAATATTACAACTTACAACTTGGTAAAGTAATAGTAATAATAGATAGGGAATTTATCGGATAAATACCCAAAATAAATACTGTGTTGTTTTAGTTTCGTTCCTTAGTCAAAACGTGGTCGAAATTTTGTTATTTAAGAGCGGTAACGCCGTCCTAGCGTGATTTAGCTAAAATCTGCAATTTTCGAACGCGTTTTGACGATAAACTATACATATATCTTACAAACATGTTGAAATGGTTAACCAAATTATGGTTTTAATTGAAATAAATGCTTTGACTTTGACTTTGATTACCAATAACTTTAGGGAATTTTCTAATCTAGGGATTGTCTTTTTATTGAGGAGGAAAATCATCCAAAGACTTCTCGCCTGGGTGAGGCGAGAGGGAGCGGCAGACTCTTACTGACTAAAAACCACCCCGTTCCTGTTACTGCACGGTCTGATGGCTCTTTGAGGCATGTGCCGAACGTGACACGCCGTACGCTCGGGTTTGTTTCTGGTCGGACGGCGAACCACTCGTTCTCGCCGTCCGCAGGCTCGTGGTTACGGTGGCCGGAAATCGTCTCGCAATCCCCGACGCCCAGAGGCCTTAGTACAAGTTTGTTTTACGTTTAAAGTAATCGTAACGAGTACGCGTTCGGCGCTCTTGGTTGCTTTATTGGCGCCGGCCAATCCGAGTGCCGATCGCGTACTCGTTACGATGTAGTAGTGACACAGACAGAGTGTCTCTCGAGACGGCCGGGGCGTGAGGAGATTCGTTCCTCGTTGGCTAGCATGACTGCTTTGCAGAAGGAGGAGACGGCAATTTAGTCCCCCTCGCTCCGTACCATAGTCTGAACTAGAGCCGGATGCGCGATGTCGCCGTCGCCGATCATATTCCTGAGGACACGGCGGTGCTCTGCCCACGCAGGGCACACCGCCACCATATGCTCCATCGTGTCTTCCGGGCGGTCCTCGCAGTGATGCGTTTCCTCCCGCCCAATCCGAAACAGGAACCTACCGAAACTTACGTGTCCGGTAAGCACCTGAGTCAGGTAGTTAGGACGCTGTAGCGTCTCTCAAGCCACTCCTCAAAGAGGGGACTTACCGCTGCAATCACAGCGATCCCAGCTCTCGGTTGCGACAGTCATTGCTGCCATTCCACCATGAGATCGCGCCGGAGGTCATCCCGCCACGCATTAATCTGGTGCGGCATCGGAGTCCCCGGCGACGTGCCTCCGCGCACATAAAACACTCGCGCGAGCACCTTCGCCTCCAGATCCTACAGCGGTAATCCAAATTCAAATTCAAATTCAAATTCATTTATTTGCAAGAATACATATTTACAAAGGAAGATCTTACAGCCTCAAAGTCATTGTATTCTGCCTGCGAGCAAGCGTGCAAAGTATAAAAATTTCAAATTAAATTCACCATAATAATTTTCATAATTACAATACAATATTTACGTTGATATCATAGTCATAGACATATTACATTTTAATCGTAGATACATTACAGTCACACATTACAAGATAGTCGATTACAAAAAAAAAAAAAAAAAAAAAAAAAAAAAAATTATATATATATATAAGGTCGAATTGAAAACCTCCTCCTCCAAAATAATCAACACAATACAATAAATGTTAGATATTAACTATTCCATACATTTGTCATTTAAATATTCATTGATTGTGTAGTATACCTTCTGTATTAAAAATGCTTTGAGTTTGTATTTGAAAGAAGCTAATGTCTGAATGGATTTGATAGAATCTGGTAATTTATTGTAAATCCGGCATGGAGGTTCGCCGCCTCAGCGGAGATCGTGCGATATCCGTGGATCAATCGGATCGCTATGACCCTCTGATATGTGAGCAACGCTCGAGCGGACCGTAGAGGGCCATGGACCGCACGACCCCCGCGTACAACCTCCGGCAGGAGGCATTTGGCTCCCCGAGGGTAGGAGGCACTTAAGCGCGGCCCCCGTCCGTTCCAACTTAGGAGCCAAACGTCGGAAGAGCTCCACGAAGTTCCACCAACTGTCGAGGACGAGTCCCAGGTATATCTAAGGAATGGCTTACGTATTTATATTACGTATATATATTTTACGTATATTGTAAGTATTCGTACAATACATCGAAATAACTTAACAAAGGTTTCCTTAATTTCCCTTTAAGCATCATTTCTCAAGTCCAATATAAAGAAAATCACAAAAATAAACTAATTAACAAAAAATGGAACCAACAGTAAATACTAAGGGTATTTACTGTAGTAGGGAATGGCTCACGTACATTTTTTTATTTAGATATTTTAACTATAGTAAATTGAAGTTCAAGCAATATAAAAGAACCGGAAATATCATGAAACTTAAAAATAATTTTATATTATAGAAGATCATGTTTTTCGAGGTAGACTGAGTAGCACCGAGTAGTATAACATGACGATATATTTATAGTATTTTAAGTTTTATATTGAAGTACTAGCGAACCCGACAAACGTCCTGTATATCCACTTGAATGTATTAACAAAAATTCATTCAAATTAGTTCAGCCGTTTAGGATAAATAACCTAGACATCGACTGCGCCATCTGCCGGGCTGATTTGTGAATCTAAACCATCCAGCCAGGGCGCCACTCAAACGTATACAGAAAAAATTATTTAAATCGGTCAAGCCGTTTTAGGAGGAGTTCAATGACATACATACGTATAGCAGAATTATATATATAAAAATGTATAGTACCTATTATAGAATTAACATGGGGTTTCGTTGCCTGGTGTAAATGAATACCTAAATAAAAAAAACATACTTAAGCATTTATAACGTAAGCAGATAAAAGAAAGAAAGCAAGCGTTGTAAAAAGATCTTTCCAGATGTTATGATGTTTTTAATAATAAACTACAAAGTCTTTCGCGGTGTTGGGCTAAAAATTGTGCTGTATAAGTCTTGTGAGAAATATTAGAACGCATTCAGAAGATGTTCTTGTAGCATTTGTTACGCAAGGAGAATAAGATAGACAAAAATTCTTCTTACATGAACAAATTGTCACAATTCAACATGGTCTCTTTATCAGAACGCAGGGAACTCTCCGACTGTATATTTATGTTTATGTAGACTGTCCGCAACTTTTGAGTAAGATGAATTATAGAGTTTCTTTTAGATACCTACCCTCGTAAACAGATCACCCCTTTGTACCCGCCGCGTCGTAGAAGTCTACTTGGTGCAAGCTCACCCCTACCACGCCTGAGTCTAGCCTTGTAATATTCTGATACCTACCATGTTCACTTGGACTCACTTGGTCGATTCCGTTCCAATGTGTAATGCGTATTATAATAATAATCATTTATTTCAGACCATGCCCATATTCTTGTTAGTAACATGTAACTTAAAAACTAATGTTAGTACACATTATATTATATCATTTAATAGGTCAATATACAAGAATATACAATATACAAAAATAGATACAGACAGGACAATACAAAATCATACCATTAATTATAATATTTAATTTAACTAGAATGTCATTATACAATATTATCAATAATAACGGCGCAAGTCCCGCGGAGAGTCGACAACATCTATTTACTATTGCGCAATCTAGTCGGCCAGATATCATTTTCAGGATGCTGTTGTTGCTACCCCTCACCCTCAGCACTAGGGATGTGCATCTCTTACGCATTACTGTATAAAAGGAATCTACGCGGGCTTCTGAAAACATTCCCGAGGCATTATATTCAGTCCACATAGAAACTTGATATTATTTGATATTTTATGTTAAAATTAGATTTTAAGATAGTAATCAAAAACTTTTTTGTACACAGACTTATTTGCGTCAGTGAATGTTGTAGTTGTACCTGTAATTGTTTGGTTACACTTAGGCTCATTCCTCTTTAATAAATATGTTTTATTTTTACTGTAGTTGTGTAATGAAATGTTGGTAACTCTTAATAAATAAATAAACGTACACACCTACCTACTTACTTACTAAATAGCTGGCCGCATAATTATTCGTCTATTGTTTTACGAGTTTGACAAGTACCTCCAAGGACTTACATAATGAAATAAAATGTGCAACTTTATTTGAAAGAATTCAAAATTATGACTAATATATAATACCTATATAATATTTTTCCATATATTCTGAGAGACCATATAAAATCATGGACGGTGAGCCCGAAGCGCTATCCGATACAGCGACGAATTGTAATTTGGCATCTGCATCTGAAACGCTGTCAGATCATAATCAAGCAAAATTAGATTCCCTAGAGAAGAAAGCTGTTCATTTAAGGTTACTTTATATATTATATTTATATTTTATGTGGTGCCTAAAATTATAGTTTATTATGATAACGAGAATTATACTTTTCGTAAATGAGACGTACCTATTATTTTTTCATTTCCTTCTATGCCGTATAAAAACATTGTCAGAAGAATAGACTACTTTACTTTTGTAACTTGTATCTACATTTTTATTTTAAGAAACGTAAATTATACTATTAATTAGGTATATTTTATTCATTTTTATAAACACCGTACCTACCTAATTATAATTGAAACTACTGTAACACGACGTTGTGACCTTATTTCAGATTAGTACTGGAGAAGGATTTCAAAGCTGCAGATA